TGGTGAGTACATGCGAAGCCCATTTTTCTGATCTGTGTCACCTCACTTTGGATAATGGGCTTAAGCTCAATCCAGGATAATATAATCAGTGCTAGCTCACTGTCGTTTCTTAGAATTGAGTAATATTTCATTGTAAACCAATGAAATACCAAATTTTAATAATCCAGATATATTAATTTCCTACTTCTTTGTGTGCCTGATAATCTTTGATTGAATGCCAGACAATGTGAATGAACTTGTCTTGTTAATTGCTAGACATTTTTGTCTTTTTATAATCTTCTTGAGTATTGTTCTATGATTCACTTGAGCTATTTCAGCCTTCTCTGATGCTTTTTATACATCTGTGTAAGGCAGGACAAGGGCAGCCTTTGTCTAAGGCTGACTCTGCCCCAGTCAAAGGTATTCCGAGGCAATACCTTTCTGAATACTCTACCCAGTGCTCCATTAATTAACAGATTTTCAACTCTGGATGGTGGAAACATGAACTATTCCCTGTATGAACTTCTGGGGTTGTTCCCCTGCTTCTTTGGAATGTTTCTTCCTTGGCCTTGGGTAGGTTACTTACTTTCATGTGCTGATCGGCACTCAGCTGAAAATTTAAGGGCACTCCCTTACTGACTTCCCCATCTTTACCTCTCTACAGCTCTTTTCTCTCTAGTATTCTGTGAACTGTAGTTCCTTTGCCTTCCTCAAATTCCCAGCTTGAACATCTCAACTCACAGAGACTGCTGCTGGCCTCCACCAGGGTCTGCTCTCTCCTTGTTCTGAAAATTCTGTCCAAGCTGGGAAAATCATAGCCTTGCATGATTTTTTCCCATCTCCAAGGATCACTGTCCTGTATTGCCTGATGTGCAATGTCTGAAACAATTGTTTTACATATTTTTCTGGAATTTTAGTTGTTTCATGCAAGTAAGGTAAATCCAGTCCTGGTTATTCTATTTTGGTCAAAAATCAGATGTTCCTGTCTTTGATGATAGGGGAAACTTGTACATGTTCATAAAGGAAGAAAGGCTGAGTATAAAGTAGAAGTTTAAAATTGAAGAGAGAGAAGAAAATTAATGGATTATTTTCTTACAGAAAGTACAAAGGGGAAATAATGAAAAGCTGAGATGGGGCTCAACTTTGCATAGGGAAAGGAACACTTCTTATGAAACAAGAAGCAGGACAGTAGCAGTGAGGAAGAGAGAAATTTAGATGCAGCGTTTATTTGGTCAGCTGATATTACTTGAGCTCCTATTATGTAATGTGAATAAAGCTCAGTTATTTCCTCCAATGAGGAGGAGAGGAGTGAGAAGAGAGAGAGTGAGGTGTGATTCCCAGCAGTTTTTCTCATTCCCCAAAAAACTTATTTTCAAATTATCTCACTCCTGAGCTTTTCATATTTTTGAGAATAGTAAGGCGTTTATAGATAGTCTAATGAGTTCTCAATAAGCCCACTTTAAAACTTTCAGATGATCTAATTCACAGCTCATGTTTGCATACAATATATCTATTATTTCTTGGTACCTCCACTGAACTTTTCAAAGTAATAGCCTGCTAGACAACACTAGCTAAGGCATAGGAGACAAGCAGAAATACAATTTCAATTCAGTGAGGTAAATGCTTTATGTGGAATATGCACAAGAGTTGAGGAAACACATTGGGTAGGAGTGGGCCCTACAGGATCTTGAAGGGGCAGAGAAAGGCTGCCAAAAAGGACTGTCCCTATGGCCCAAGGAATTATCCAGGAAATACATGTGGGGTATGGGAATGGTAAGAAGAAAGGATGTTCCATTAAAAGGAAGAAAATGGGTAAAAGTCGAAGGCAGGAGAGAATTATTGGAACTGCAGGAGAATCAGTAGGGCTGATGAGGTAGGAGAGCTCCTCAGAAGCCACACCCCAGAAATGCACTTTGTATGCAACTTTAGGAGAATCAGTAGGGCTGGTGAGGTAGGAGAGTTCCTCAGAAGCCACACCCCAGGGCTTCAAGCACACCTTGAATGCCCTCCAGGGTATTTGGAATTGATCCTGAGAAAAGTAGGGTATCCTAAAGTAATTTTAAGTAATGACTGTGAACAATATTGTGTTTAAAAATCATTCTGATGGCATTGCAGAGAATACAAAGGAAGGAAATTGTGAGAAGGAATAGTTCCTCTGGTAGAGTGGGAACAGTGGTAATGGAAAGAAGTGGACACGTCCTAAACAATAAAATGATACATCTGCTAGAACCTGGTAACTGATCAAACATGTGGCATGAGGAGGAAGGACTAAGGGAAATTCCCAAGTGTTTATCTTGGATAACTGGATTTATAACAATGTTTTCAATGAAATAAGTATTATAGGTTTGTTGTCTTAAAACTTATAAAGTAAGAGAAAGTAGGGAAAGTTGAAGCAGTCTAAATTTGTTTTCATTCATTGAACATATTGTCTACTTGTGCCAGGCACAAAGATGGAGAAATCAAAAGAAGCTATGGCACAATAACTGAGAGAAATGAGACTAGGAAGAAGAGGGGGAAAGGATAGAGGAAAATGACAACTGGGAATCCCTAAGGCCCAACCAAGGTTAGATAGCATGAGCTAGTGGTGGAACCAAGAGTCTTGGTTATGATGTTCTTTCAGCAACTCTGGCCAGTATGACAGAAGAATTAGAGGGTAGATGTAGTTTGTGGGATGAATCCAAACTTAAGAATATAAAGCAGTGAGAGTAAGTTTGTAGTCAAGAACAAGATGGAAAGCAACAGGTTGGACTTTTACAAGCATTACTAAAATGCCTTCCCATAAGCACAGGCTGGAGAGGGAAGCCAGAATAGGGCCAATGAGAGGAGAATGGGCAGGGGGAAGATTGAAGGCCAACAAACTGAATATGAAAGAGAAAGAGAGAGATAAATAGGATATAGTCATCGGAGAGAATGTAAGCATCCAAGGAAAAGGCAGCAGCAAATAATCATGTGGGTCCAGATGTGATTTCAACCCCTCAAAGGCAGCAAGTAGTTGTGAAGCAAGATTGTTAAAAGTGTCATTAGTATGAACATAGACCGTCCAAAAAATAGGAATCCAAAGGAAATCTATGAGCAAGGTAAAACTCATACTCGAAGTCAGTAAACCACAGGAACAAGATGGGGAAAGAGCAGAAAGGTGAAACTGTTAAAAGCTCATGGTTAGTTTTCTGGAAAGAGACTGAGGTATGTCGGGTGGGGTGAGGATGAGTGCTGCTTCTTCCTTTGATTCTAGAGATGTTGCCTCGATTAGAAGAAAACTGGTATTATCAAGAGTAAATAGGTATCAGTAGTGGTCATGAGAGGAGAAAAACACTCCAGGAAAGGATTCATTTTCAAGCAGATAATGTTACAATAAAAAAGGGCTCAATGACAATCTTTTTCATTCCACTGGTCATTGTGGAAGCAGGTAGGACAGGCAAAGCAAGGATGGCCAGGGGTGCATGGTGTATAGCAAGGTGTGTGCTGGAAGGGACATAGTTAACCATTTTCTCCTGGGTGGCAGTTTTTAACATAAGCTCACTTGAGGCTCTTGTGTGTCATTAACACTTCTGAAAACTCCAAGGTCAATTTAAGGTCATTTGCTAGAATATTTGGGTTATATCATAGTTACTGATCATCTTCATGAATTCTTTGAAGTAGTCTTCCCTTTGAACATTATTAAAGTGCTTATTGAGAACACTTAGACAGGAAATAAAATTTTAAAAAATAGAAAGTTCATCCCCTGCTCATCAGGGTCTAAAAGCAGAAAGAGTTCATGGATCAAACAAATCAATGTAGAAAACTTTAAAATTTCTATCAAGTAAATGCCACACATTAAATACCAGAAAGTGGTGACTAAGAGGTGGAGACGATAGGAGGTGTATACCAAAAGTTTCACCCACACCCTGATTTGTGGTTTTTACCCTGATGCCTCCACCACACCTATGAGTTTCGCTTATTAAAATAATAAAGAGGTAGAGTAACTAAAACCTGCTGATCAGCGCACAGAGCTAAACGTAATTCCTCAGAGACTAAACCTGACAGACAAGATCAAGATTCAATGTGGAAAATGTCTGATGTTGTGAGCTAATATATTTTCCAACCTGGTCTACAGGTGTGTGCTGATGTGTGTAGTTTTGCTCATCCTCAGCACATCTTTGAGAACATTGAGCTCATCTCCTTTCTTTTACCCACAAAATGTTAACATTAAAACCAAGAAAGAAATGGGGATATATGGCGATTAACTGGAGTACAGGGATTTAAGAGGCAACAGCAAGAAGTTTCAGACTAGTGAAATCAATAAAGTTCTATGCAGAGAGTATATCTATGCAACCTCCTGTGTCCATTAAGCAGGAATACCTGCAGTGCGTAAAAATTAGGAATATAGGTGTCATCATATAAACTACCACTTAAGGAGCACTTACTATACGCTAAACTCCTTTCATGTTATATCGTGGAATCCGCACATGTATGAGAGGTAGGCACGCTCATGCCCATTTCAGACAAGGGCACCCCCAGAGCGCAAAGCCTCGGTTACTCGTCCGGGATCCATCCCCAATGGTGTTGGAGCTGACTCATCTGACTCGGTTGCTGCCCGAGTGGCGTTTTAAAAATGCCACTAGAGGCCCATTTAAAACATATACACACCACTTTTCGGGTATGACTGGTGACCTTGATTTTACCTTTGCAGTCACAGCCCCCAAGACCTGTGTTTCTGTCAAATTGAGGAGAGAGGGCGAGGGCGGGCGGTGAGAGTTGGGGGGAAACAGGTGGAGAGAACAGGTGGAACCTAAGAGGGATACGAGGTAAAAACGAACACTAGAGCTGCGGGGACCGGCCTTGGGGACGCTCCAGAGAGCACTGGGCGACTAGAGCCAAGCAGGAAGGACCGCGCCAGCCAGGCGGTCTCACCTGTGCACGTGACCAGCGCGGTCGCCAGGGCGGAGGCGCGCTCACCTGGGCCCACGTGACGGGGCGGGGCGTAGCCCGCCGGAGGCCCGCGTGGCCACGCCCACTCCCGCGCGGCGCACCCGGACCCCGCAGACCCGAGCGGCGGCGGCGGGAACCGGGAGGCGGAGGCGGGAGGCGGCGGCGGCCGCGGCGGCGCGCGGAGACGCAGCAGCGGCAGCAGCAGCATGTCGGCCGGCGGAGCGCCAGTCCCGCCGCCCCCGAACCCCGCCGTGTCCTTCCCGGCGCCCCGGGTGACCCTGCCTGCCGGCCCCGACTTCCTGCGGACCTACTCGGGCGCCTTCGTCTGCCTGGAGATTGTAAGTGGGGTAGCCTCGGCGAGGGTCGCGCCCGGGAGCGACGACCGGCAGCAGCATCCTTGTCCCCCGCTATCTCCCCCTGCTCCCGCTGGCAGCCTCCCTCCCTTCGACCTGGCCTTTTCCTGCGCCCCCTCCCGGGGTCCTCCCCTTGCCTGGCGCAGCCGCCGGGGCCCTCTCGCCTGGCACCTGTTACGCTGGCACCTGCTCCCTAGCGGGGGACGGAAATGGCCCCGAGAGAGCTAGCAGCAACTAGGCAGGGCCAAGGATTGGGGACTTTGATGGGAGAAGGGTGTTGGGTCTCGGAGCAGCCTTCAGAGGCAGGACTTGGCCAGGGGCTGTGCTTGTCTAGAGCAATCTCGGGTGCTCTTGGCCTCGCCTATTGCTAACCTGCCATTTTGTTGGGTGGTGCAAAGGTGTAGCCATGACTGGGTGACCAGGAGGCTGCCACACTGTGGAAAACGGGGGTGGAAGGCACCAGGAAGAGGAGGAGGGCTGAAGACTGGAGCATATTTTTATTCCCCATTCACCCTTGCCTTCATTAGTGCCCTTTGGATTGGGGAGAGGAGCTGGGCTCAGGTGCCAGGGCAGGGGGAAAGGTATGTATGTTGTCCTTGGCAGATTCTAATCCAGTGGGCGTGAGAATAGTGGGGGAAAGGTGGCTGTCACCTTCTCTGCCTGCCTTTGCACCTCCTTCCGTCCTACAATACCTCTACAACTCCACACCTTCTCAGCACACTCTTTTGGGCCCAAGTAAAGGTGAAGTTACCTGGCCTATCCTACAATCTTTTGGGGCTAGACACGAACTTTTGAAAAGAATTCGTGGAGTTGGAAGCTTTTGAAGCTTACTGTGGACAAGGGGAAAATGGGCAAATATGAATTGGGCAACCTGAGGTTGCATCATGCTCTGTGAATGGCAAATAAAAAGTGAAATGCTAGAGAGTTAGTACCTTTCCTGCAGGCTTTTTTTGTTTGCTTGGTTTGGGGTTTTCAGCCCTCCCCTCACCCTCTCCTTTGAGTTTACATAACCTGGATTTGGGTCAGTTTGGTTTCACTTTTGTGCTTTTGGGGCTGGAACACCTCGTGAGCATTGGTTTTCTGCCCTATTATGCTCAGGTGGCCCAGCCACCCTAAGTTAAGTTTAGCTGAGATTTGAATCTGAAAGAGGAAACGCAAGTGAGTTCCAGGCTATGACATCAGTAATCAGATCATGACTGCCAGGCTGGTTTGAGTTCAAGCCCAGTTGAGAAGCATCTGAGTGCTTGGGATGAGGTGCAGACATCCATGTGGGAAGAGCAGAGAGAGGATGGCATTGGGCTGGCTGCATTGCTGTGGGAGGGAGGCTTGTTTAGAACAGGAAGATATGGGAAGAAAGATTTCATAGGTTCTGGGCTACTTTAGTTCCATGTTCCCCAAGCTCCAGTTTTTTGCCTCCCTCTTTTAGAAGTTCTTACCCTATCCATGTCTGCATTCCACCTGTGCTAGAATTTACAGACTATTCACTTTCTAAACTTCATTACCTATCTTAGCCTCATCTTAACCAATAATATACATTTCATATTTTATATTCTGATATTTATATTTTTCTAATATTTATTCGAATGTATATTTTATATATGTGTGTAAATATATGTGTATATATGTATATGTGTGTGTGTATATATATATATACATATATATACACACACACACACACACGGATTATATGCAAAGAAGGCTTATTTATGTGCCATCAAATCAAATACCATCTCAAGAACCACCTGTGGCCATGTCATACTTTTGGAAAACATGGCCTAATTCTGAGGGAAAAAAGTAGAAGGTGATTTATTGAATTTTCTCCTCCCCCTCACCCCATATCTCTTTTTCATCTTGCCCAGTGGCTGGTTCTCAACTCTTGTTATACTTAAAAACCTGGGCAGCTTTTAAAAATACTGTTGCCAGCCCAGACTAATTAAATCACACTCTCTGGGGAATGCCCTGAGTCTGCCAGTTTATTTATTTATTTTTTTAAGCTTCCCTGGATAGTCTGATATACAGTTATAGCTGGGAGCCCCTGTACAGGAGGACATTTCTTCTCTTGCAAATGTGAATTTGCTCTGTCTGCTAATACTTCCACCACTCCTCATACTAGCAGCCATCCTAGACTCACAAAAGTATCCAATCTGTTCCTTTTATCTCTTCATTTCCTCTGGCTTCTTATCTCCTGAAACATGTCGTGGACTTTTATCTAGATAGAACAACATCACTTCCAAAAGCATTTTAGTTTGCTTTTCACTTTCTATGGTTGAATAGCTTGTTAGGTTTAAAATTTAGATCTCTCTTATCTCTTTTACTTGAATATAAACCTCCATTAAAAAGGACGAGTATGTTCCAATGAAATAGAAACGAGATCACACTGGAGTCAAACTATAGCTTCTTCATGGCTCTCATTCTTCTGAACTGCTTAGAGATATTGGAGTATATGCTTTAAGAGAGCAGGAGTCAAACCTGCCTTGTTACCCCTGTATCTAAAATGCCCACCTTGAGTGGATGTATGGGTAGGGGCTAAGTAAACATTTTTGAAGCACCTTCACTCCTAGATTTCTCATTTTTCTCTCTAATTTTCTGATTCCTTTAAGATGTTCAGTCTTCCATGGCTCCTCTTCAGAAATTTCTCACCCTGTAGATTAAATGTAAGAATTCCCAGGTACAATACTAAATGCTAGGTGTTCTCCATTCTAGGGACCTCTGGCAGTATTTCTAGATACCCCCAAATTCTTTCTTAGTTTTGACTTTCTATTCAAATCCACGTATCTTTAAGATTTCTTGGCCGGGCGTGGTGGCTCACACCTATAATCCTAGCACTCTGGGAGGCCAAGGCAAGCGGATTGCTTGACGTCAGGAGTTCGAAACCAGCCTGAGCAAGAGCGAGACCCTGTCTCTACTATAAATAGAAAGAAATTAATTGGCCAACGAATATATATAGAAAAAAATTAGCCGGGCATGGTGGTGCATGCCTGTAGTCCCAGCTACTCGGGAGGCTGAGGCAGAAGGATTTGCTTGAGCCCAGGAGTTTGAGGTTGCTGTGAGCTAGGCTGATGCCATGGTACTCACTCTAGCCTGGGCAACAAAGCCAAGATTCTGTCTCAAAAAAAACAAACAAACAAAAAAAAGATTTCTTCATTTATGTCCTGTTTCCTTCTGAAACTTAACATGTGGAAACTGTACCTGATGAAAATGTACTGAGCTATCAATAGTTAACTAAGCTAATGTGGGACCATGATCTTGGAGTTCAATTCTCATACTAACCATTTAACTTTGTTCGAAGAATTCAATCTCAATCCCCATTATTGGACTCTATTCACAATCTCACAGACATAGGCCATCTCTTAGGGAGATAACACAGAAGATATAAATAGTGCCAGCCCGCCAGTACCAGGTAAAGCATTAAAGCACTGGCTGGCTTCATACAACCTCACATAAATAGTGTATTTTTTTTTGAAATAGGTGTGTTTCATTCATAGATACCTAAATTGTCAGCCCATTGGTTTTTGGCCTCGGCTATACTTACCAATGCATGCTTGCCACAAAGAGTTTAATACAAAGTTAGTATTGCAAAGTGAAGTCTTTTGGTTTAGGATGGAAAACATCGTCTTTAAAAGTTCACATTTTCAAAATCTCTCCATGTTTCCTGAATGAAGATTTTTCTAAGTCATTAAGTATTTATTGCATTCCTACTGTATGCAAGGCATTCTTTTGGGAACAATGTTTAGCCCCTTCCCCGCTTGAAAGACCTCATAACCTAATTGAAAGGATATGCACAAAAATAACTACCTTTCAGGGACAAAAAAAGTATGGGAAGTGAACTACAGCTAAAGCATTTTCCAGATGAGTCTGTCTATTTTTTAAAACATGACTTTGGAGCATCTGTACAATTGGGCTGAACAAGATATTTAGGGTCTCTGTCCTCAATGAGATTACTGTGTAAAATGCACAGAAAAAGACTGAATGTAACAGTATTAATCATGTAAAAGATTAAAGGTCAATATTGACATCATTGTGTATTATTTTACAGTTTTAATTTTTAGGAAAATATATTCCCCAAGTTATTCACACTTCTCTCTTTCTCTTTTTGAGGCAGGGTCTCACTCTTTTACCTGAGCTGGAGTGCAGTCGTGTCATCGTAGCTCACTGTAACCTCAAACTCCTGGGCTCACACTGATCCTCCTACCTTAGCCTCCCAAGTAGTGGGGTCTATAGATGTATATTACCACACCTGGCTAATTTTTATATTTTTTGTAAAGATGGGGGACTCACCATGTTACTCAGGGTAGTCTTGAACTCCTGACCTCAAGCAGTCTTGGCTTCCCAAAGTGCTGGGATTATAGGTGTGAGCCACTGTGCCCACCCAACATTTCTCTTTTTGGGAGATATTCTAGGATTCTTTTTCACATATGTCCAACCATGGTGCTTTGGGTGCCACAATACTTTTATTTAACTTATAATTAAAAATGTACTGTGCATCAGGCATTATTTTATGTCCTGGAAATAAAATAATTAACATAGTTCCTACCCTTAAAAGAAATTACTATTTGGCAGAACATAAAGTGAAGAAAGAATTACAGTGCTATGTATAAAGTGCTAAGTAGGTTTATGAACGGTATTGTGGAAAAGCAGGATAGAGTACATCTGCCTACTGGAGAGGCCAGGTCAGGCAGCTTTAATTGGGTGGTGACATTTGAGTTTTGCCTTAAGTGATGAGCACTTCAGTAGAAAGTAGGAAAGAGAATTCCAGGTGGAAACAAGGGCACGTACAAATCCCAGAGGCAAGAAAGACCATAGCATGAAGATTTTAGCTGTTAGTTTTTTGCCATGACACATGGAAAGGTGGTATAAGGAGGAGGAAAAAGAACAGATAGGGCCCAGGTTGTGGTTTGCTGAGAAATATTAGGCCAAGGCATTGAATTTATTCTGTCTGTGCTAGGGAGCTGCTGAAGGGCAGGAATAAACTTGATCAGAAGTCT